CCTTACGATGGTTTTCCATTGATTCTAATAAAGGGTAAATTTAACATTATAGATTACACTGATTATATTAAGGTAAGATTTGGTTTGAAATTTTACTTTTTGATTCCAATAAACGGTTGATTCTATAAACCATTGATTACCTTAAGCGGAACTCATTGTAWTTAAAATACAATTCAAATATTTTTAAGAAACAGTAAATAGGAAACAGCAATTATAGGGTCTTTTACTGCTCTTAGCATATTTTATGAGTGAAGAAATATTATAAATAAAACTGTATAATATTCAGTGGCATTATGATAGGGTGGCACGACGGTCAAGTGCTACAGGCCCAATGGGAGGGAAAGAATGTGAATTGTATGAAAACATGTAAAAATGTAATTATTCTATTTTTAAGAATAAAGTCGAAGTCTAGTATCTTCGTTCAGAATCTATATTTAAAATTTGATTTATTTTTTTCGGAAAAATTCAAAATACCAGTAGCAAATTAAATTTGTGAATCTGATTTTACGAGTATGTACAATTTTGATAAATATATCGATATTGATGTAATTTTTATTAAATTTACCCAGGTTTTAAAACCGATATTAGGTACCGATTTTGAAAAATAGTTAAAAGTTAAAACCGTTAAAACCCGATACCAAAACTGAAAACAAAATTGGAAAAAATATTTTCGGTTTTCAGCCCTGAATTTACCGATAGTTATAATTGATTTTTAAACCGATTTCATGCCCTGGTTTTTAAAAAAAATACATATATTTTTAAATAAAATATTTGTGACTGACTATGCATTAKCCATTATTTACCTATTTTGTATTAATTATCCTATTTATCTATGTATAATTTTAGATAATACATAAGTGATTTTAAAAACTAAATAAATATTTCTAGCGGAAACACTGAAAGCAAAATGGAAAAATATGAGGGACTATTATCGGGCTGAATTGAAAAAACATCCTTCAGGAAAATCGGGAGCTGGAGCTGGAAATGTTTATCATATTTACGAAATACAATGCAAACAAGAACTCGTTCCACAAACATTATATCGAATTTCAACTTGTCAGAAGAAGCAGACATTGAGTCAAATTCATCGCATGCATATGATGTGTGCCAGACTCAAGATAATGATAATTTTACACAAGATAGTTCGAATATTATTGATGCCGATCTAGATAATACAGACTCCGATGTAAGTCATGCAGGTGGATTAAAAATAAGCAACTACGATGTACCGCATAGCCAGACGGCAGTAAATAATTTTAGACGTGAATTATTAAATATGGAAGCTAAAAACTTAAACTTTTAGAAAATGAAGAAAAAGAAGATGAGGATTTGTTATTTTTAAAAAGTTTATTGCCAGATCTAAAAAAATTATCGCAAACGCAGAAAATGAGGACAAAAATTAAATTTCAAGARATTTTACTTCAAGAAACTTTAAATTTACTACAGTCAACACCAACGACAAATCAAACAACCGTTGTCAGCAGTTTTCCATATAGTGCCCAATGGCATATAAATAATATGAGGGCACACAAACTTTCGAAACTAATTTTTCTTAAAGTTTTTTTTTTCAATTTTGATTATTTAAAATAATTTAAGTTATTTTATAGCAAGACGCTAATTAATTGTTTTTGAACATTTCTTTTTTAATTTTGATTATTTAAAATTATTTAAGGTTTTGTTATTGCAAGACGCTACACATAATATTTAATTTAATATGATTATAACTTTTTAAAGTCAATTTTATTGAAGTTAATTATTTTTTTTTTCATTTATTATACCATTACATATTTGATACCTATTAGGTATATTGTTATTAAATTTGTAATCAACTGGTATAATTTTATTTTATTATGTTTATATTTTTTTATGTGGTCTACATTTAATATTAATTTACTTATTGTTTTAATATATGACCAAGTTGGTTTTGAACATGTTTTGATACTTGTTTTAATTATTTAGAATTATAAGTTAAAAAAATGTAGTTTTTATTTTGGCATTTACTTACCTCAGAGTAACTAAAAGCCTCTCTTCTGATGATATAGGCTGTCGGAAATTTGTTTCTGATTTCTGTATAGTATCTTTAATAGCATCAAGTACTATGTTGAATGTTTCTTCATCCATACGGCAATACTCAAAAAACTTGTCAGGGTGTTTTTTTAGTTTAGAAAAAAGAGTATGATATTCACCTTCTTTTTCTCTATTTGTATTTAATTCGTGTACCCATAAACGTTCTTTAAACATTTCAACTTTTGCTTCTATTGAAGCAGAACTTTCGGACAAAAGTATTTTACGCACGCGGTTTGAATTGAACGAAGTCATCTTGGCGATTAAAACCATTCGTCACAAAACAATAAAAACCCGGGACTGGCCCCACCAAAATCGTAAAAATCGCTGGAAAATATCGCTCGCATCACAAATCGCGTTCAGTGGGGCCGTACCTTTAGATATCCAACTACGACATTAAAAACATTAGAATGTTCAAATTGTTTTTTCAAAACTAATCTCAAGGATATCATAGTCATTTTAACATCTTTTGGTTCTAAAATTAACACTAGTAAGTCTATCATTTAACCTTTGTCCAATTATAATCTGATAAGGTCTTATTAAGACACCTATATTTTCTAATAATTGTAAGCGGAAATATTCTGTTTTAACCCCATCAAACGAATTAGAAAGCACATCAAATATATTTGTAAACTCTAAGGTAGTTTCTGAAAAAATATTTAATTTAGAGAGTTCACTATCAATTTTCTGTTTTATTATAGAGAAT